GAGCTGAGCCCGACCCAGCGAGGGGGCCGGTCCCGCACAGTCATTAAGGGGTGTGTCATTAAGGGGTGTCAGCTGGCGGGACCAGCCACAGTCCCACACCTGAGCCCGTGGGGCACAGCCACCCTGATCTCCATCACTAATGAACACGGGCTCATCTGCAGCCTGTCACCCGCCCAGCCCCCCGCACACGCCGAGACAACTATTGCTGAGGATTAGAGAGTTTTGACAGATTCCAAAAATAGCTCACTATTCCTGCCGGTGGTTAATAAACAAAAACAATTCCACCATATTGAGGGACAGTGGGAAATGTGAGCACAGGAACGTTTGAAGGATCTTTGTGTCAGCTGCTTAGAAATGGAAGAAAGTGACATGTTTTCATAATATTTTGTACCTGCCTGATGCATTTTTTAGTGAAATAAGAGGTACACAGTGAGAGCTGCATTCGGGGTACTTTGCACTTCGGTACAGCAAAGATCCCAGAGCACGTGGAGCATCCAGAGGAAAGGCTTCTCTGTGCCTCAGCTGCTTCACTCAGGGATAGGGGGATACTCACAAGTACCTCAAAAATCACTTCTCCCAAACCTGCCCGCCAACCTGCTCACCAGATTGCTCCCAACCCACGCTGGCCCCAAACAGGGGAGCAGAGTCATCACTGCAGAATGGCCACCAAAGCAAACCTGGCCAACAGGGGAAGGAAAACACCCCTCTAGTGGGACAGCAAGCTGCAGGTTTGGGGACAGCACAGCTGCTGCAGGGGAGAGAGCTGTGTTCCATGTGGAGCACACTCAGAACAGTCTCCTCTGCTTTTCATCTGTTCATACCCTCCAGGGTATTTTTGTTTTCATTCAGTAACACTTGATTTCCTGCCACACTTCAGAAACGGTACAATAAATGACTGTAAATATCATCTCACATATTTGTAGTGATCTATCCTAGAAATAATTATTAACTATCTGCCAGACTATCTCCTTTCATTTTTTTCCACCTATTCTATGCTCCTGAACTCATTACTCCAAGATTTACTTCCTTTTCCTTGCAATAGCTCTGCTTTCTGTGGCTTCTACTGGTCCTCATCCTTTTGGAGCCTCTTTTTATTAAACCTGGCTTTTTTGATGAAATACAGAAAAGAAATGAAGTTACAAGCAGCCTATTTCCTTGCTTAAACAAGAAGGCTACAACACAGCTCCACTGTGGATCAAGTAATTCTTCTACAGACAAAAAGCTTCTACTTTTCAAACACCAGAAATCAAATACCAGAATAAAATATATCCCCTCTCCCCATCTCCTGAGGAACTGAAGAACCAGAGGATAGATAAACCCAGAATTCCAGTATTTAATTCTGTAGACACTTTTCTCCCCAGACCACGACGGTTTCCATATCCAGTATTTCTTTGTTATTGTTTAACACCAGAAGGCACAAACGCATTTGCAAAATGACTGTGAGGTTTAAAAACCACGTGGCGACTCAATTGGAAGAAAAATTGGCTGCAATGAAAGATCTGAGCTCAAAACACTCCATTAGATGTGCTGTTCTTCCACTTATGTTTTTTAAAGCAGATCTATAGCTGCCCACATGACAGATTAATATTGTTCCACAGCAGTTAGGTGCTTGGCATTACATTTTTGAAGCATCTACAGGCCTTGAGGGCTGAAAGTGTTCCCATGCTCAGCGATCTATAATGGTTCCTCCAGAGGCCAGCACTGGCTCCCCAGCGAGCTCTGCCTCCATAAATCAGCTGCACAAGTGGCACTGGGGCATCCCCATCCCTCCCCATCCCTCCCCATCCCTCCCCATCCATCCCCATCCCTCCCCATCCATCCCCTCGGAATGGTGGGGGTGAGGATCAGCTCCCGGCACCGCAGCCAGGGAAAGGACCATCACAGTTGGCACTGACAAAGCATGTGCTACTTAAATCTGAAGACACACTAAGTCTATGGAAAAAAAACACATCCTGCTGGTGTTAGCATGCCTCAGGCACTGGGAGAAGCTTCAGCAACTCATCTTCAAAAGGCAGAGAGCCAGGGCTCTAGAAACCTGCAAAAATTGGCTAAGCCTGCAGTCTTTTTTTTATTTTTTTTTTTTAGTTATTTTTTTTTTTTAGTTGAGCATCTTCAAAGTCTACAATTCTAACTGTAGGGCACAGCAGCTGCCACTGCAGATTTGATCCTCTCAGCTTTTGGCAGCTCTCAACTTGAAATTCTAGCAAAAGAATTTTTCAAGTTGCTATTATTGCCTGTCATGGATTTATAAATATTGTGCACTATCTGCTGTGGCATGGCTCTCCTGGGACACCAGTGCATGCCAAAAGCATAACAGAATGAAAAACAGTTCCTATTCTTCAAATAAATGCTAATTTTTTTTTAACTGTGCTCACACGATGCGTTTGGTGATCAGCTTCAATAGTACAGAATATATATCAGAAGCAAAAAAGCTGATTGTCTTTTCCAGTAGTATTCAGCTGCTACTTTCATTAAGCTTGTTTAATTACATTCCAGATGCTAATTTGCAAGTTGATACCAGAGGGTGCAGGACAGTTTGCCTTTGAATCATTTTTCTGTGATGTGATGGTCTTGAAGCACACCACTACCCTCCAGTAGCCCTAGGAAGATATTCTGACAATTAGTGCAAGAGAAAGGAGCATTGATCTTGACAGAAAAATAATAATTTTCTACCTATTTTATTAAATTAATCTCCAGGAATTTTAAGTTTATTTTCAATGCAATTTCATAGGAAGTTTTATGTAAAATACACATGGCATACTTCAGATTTAATTTGGATTTACTTCAATAGAAAAATTTGTTATTTTGTTAATTTACTGTAAAAAAAACATATCTGACTTAAAAGGTAAATATTAAGCTGGCAGCCATAACAGAGGAAGTGTTTAGGAGTACAATTGAGCTTTAGCACCTGAAACTTTGCTGGTTTGCTTAATACACTTCCTGAATTGCTATTAGATAGATACCAGATTATCCAGGAAAACCAAAGGAAGAGTTAAGGTACATCCGAGTCTCAAAATCTAAATATCTATTTCAACAAATTGGTATGGTGCATTTCTGCATGCTTGTTATAACAGTGACTATCTGCTGCCACTTATGGTTGTGTGTGAAGACAGTTTAATGAGGATGACCTTTCTAAATAGGAAAATTTGGAGATTTACCAATTTTTGGTGCCTTTTCCGGTTGCTCTTACACAGAAAATGACTTAAAATACAAGCTTGAAAACTAGCTGAGAATCAGATGAAAATGTGAGTTGCACAGCACAGCTCTTTGCCATTTGTATCTCTGAAAGAGGACTGTTGTGCTGTAGCTGTTGATTCCCAGGATTTGCAGTCCATGTTTTCAGTGGAACAGCACACACACCAAGTGCACAGTCACCCAGGAGGCTGGAAAAGGAGACTGCCATTCTTACAGCAGCGTGAGGGGAGAGGGGAAAACAGAGAGTCTTCCTCTCTGGAGTGGCTCTATCAGCCATCTGCTGTGACGCTCCCTCCCCAAGACACTCGAGTGCCTACGAAAAGTATTCCAGTATTTCTGGTAACATTTATAAATACACTGAGGACCAGAAGCCCAGAGTCTTCAGATACCACCCAAAACACCGTGGCAACACAGGAACCCTGATCCTCCTGTGTGTCCAGAACTTTGCACACTTACAGCTACTGCACAGGTACTGACAGGAGAGGAGCCAGGGCCAGGGGGAGTTGGAAAACTGCTTCTTACCAACCCTTCAGCAATTAACTAATGCAAACTTCTCAAAACAAGGTGGGTTTGGTTTTTTTTTAAATCAACTGGTATTAGACATGGTGCCTCATCAGGACAGGTGACAGGGTACAAGAGATCACTTTACATTTTAATCTATCAGCTTTATAGAGAGGAATTTGGTGGACTGACGGGACCATCACCCCAAAACACAGTGCACTTGAAGGGGAGGAACTGACCCACAGCAGCTGCAGAACAAAAATGAGGAGCATTTGAAGATCTCTGCTGATGCAAATAAACTTCTTCCTTTTCCACATTACTCAGGGATACTGGAGAGCTGCAAGATTTATCTGCATTTTAGACTGAAATGATTGTGACTGTTAGTGTTACAGATAATTTTTAATGGGTTCAATTTTCAATTTTGTGTTCAATTCTCATTTTTCCTTTACTGTGGAATTATCAATCAATTGGAATGAGAAGAAGTGTTCGCAGAGAGTCTAAAGAGATTAATGTGGTTTAAGAGGGCTTGACATTACTGAGGCATTTTACAAAATAGAGTTACAGAAAGCCCTGTAATTGCTTTGGGGTTATTTTCATCAATAGTGGGTCTGGAGACAACCGGATTTTCAGGGTTTAGTTTAGGAGCACTGAACATGGTGTAACCAAGTATAAGAAAATACTACAGAAAATAAAAAATAATGCACTGCATCCCTTTGTAACTGAACAGCTTGTTCTGATCTCATGACACTCAGATTTTAGCTCTCCTGAATGATTCTAACAACCAATCAAACATTTTTCAATTTTTATCAGTATCAGCAGCAAAACACAAAACCCACAACCTTAAGAGTCTTCTGATAATCAGCTTTCAATAGATGTTAAATTGCAGACACTAGTTCTGAACATACCAAATCAACCAGGATTGTTTCATGTACTACTTGAACACTTTTTGTAGCATTCTCTTTTCAAGACTGAGAGAGAAGGACTGACTGATAAAAAACCAGCAATATTGACTGTGCAAGGGCTGGTAAATTCCTGAAGTCAGCTATAACCAGTAAGCTGTAGGTTTTTAAAGCTTTCACCTACATTAAAAGCACACATTTTTCCATCTAGAAATACAGCTTCTTGCAAATTTATTTTATCCATCAATTTTTACAACTTTACAGTAAGCTGGCACTAGTATATTTTAAGTGCAGCAAAACTAGAGCAGTTTTAACTTCTTTAAAGCTTCAAACCTCTTAAATTCTTGTGATCACAGGGATTACTGAGGGAATAAACAGTGAGATTTAAAACCCCAACATTCTTACCTCCATGTCAGGTTTGTACTTATCCTCGAACACTGCCATGGCTGCCAGTGATCCAGAACCTGTGGGGACAACATCAGGACACTCCTTTAGCCTGTGGAGTTACACAGGGTATTTTTTGAGAGAAAAGTATAACCCATTTCAGCAGCACAGACCAGAGTGAAGCCCAGCTCAGCTCACCACACTCTCAAGTGTCTGTGCTAAGGCCAGCTCCTAACTGAAGCCCAGAGGTGCAGCTTGTGTGCACACACTCAGCACGGTCCCACCCTGAGAGCCCTTTCCTTCTGACCAGTCTGAACACCAGATATGAAAATGAGGTTAATGGAATCCCTACTCCAGTGCTCCTGCCCTGCTCCCGTGCCTGCCCTCCTGAGAGGGGATGTGGGAATGGGGAGATGGCTCCGGCCCTGGCACTGTCACCCTACACGTGGGGTGGGTGACCCAGCCACGGGAGCAGGGTAGGGGCTGCTGCCACCAGCTTATCTCCCCCAGCAACTTGGAAACAGTCTGTTGTGCATTTACTCTGTGCCATTATTTTTACATTGAACAATAACAGCTGAACAAAGTGACAGAGATGAAACCACAGGTTTAATGTTCCTTCTCCAGAAGGGACGAGGTGCAAGTGCAGCCATGGAACAGGAGCCACCTCTGCCCAAAGCACTGGGACTGCAGGGTTATAAATGGGCTTTCCATGAAATAATACAAAAAGCAGGATGACACTATCTGAAACTGTAAACTTGCTTTGTGCAGAAAGAGTGAGCCTTCAGGAAGATTATCTTGTCTGTCTGTGGCCCTACCCATATTTCAGAGAACACTACTTTTGGGGAGTGAATAAAGTTACCTGCAATTTTTTACTCCAATTAGAAGATTTTTTGGCATTTATTACTTTTTAACTTGTTTTGCATACTGCTATCTGTTTAGCTGGGTCACAGAGAAAGCCATATTTCCTATTTAAAATGATTTGTGTATATCGCTTGACCACCTCAATGGTTTAGTGAAAGCAAAAGGCAGCGATTAAACAGTTTCAAATGAGGTGTCCTGCTGATTTTATCAAGTCTGCTGAATGTATAATGAAAAAGGAGAAGCTGACAGTGACACTGTTGAGAAAATACAGACTACCTTAGCTGAACCATTTAAGGAGGTCCAATTATAGATCAAATTTAAAGGGTTGAAACAGCAGATTTACAGACACAAATCAATGAACATGGTAATCCCGATGAATATGACAGATATTCCTGTTACAGAATATTGCTGTGGTTGAGGATCATTACCTTTACAGTACCAAATACATCACATCTAAAAGCAGTAGGACACTCTAAGTGTGTACTTGTATTACAGGCAATGACTATTCATTTACACCTTGGAGCAATACACAACTCCATTTTTTAAATGCTGAAACTGGGAATAAAACAGATTTTTAAGCAGAAATGAACTGCTGATACAAACAGCTGATATCACAGAGCAAATCACAAGTACAAGGAATTTTACTGATCCTTCAAACAAGGTCAAAATAAGGTGGGGGCCAAAACAAATACAAGACCTGAACCACAAAATAATAATTCTTCTGGAATGACACAGGAACATTTCTAATAAGGAAAAAAAATATCTGAGCTATGGTCTCAAACCAAGCCCACGTTCTTGCTACACCCAAATGAAGGCCTACTATGAGCAGAACGGAAATCCTCAAAGCTGGGAAGCAATCCTGCCCTTGGAGAAGGGTTATTTGACAAAATTAGAGTGCAAAGACTAAAAAATATGAAAGAATGAAATATAAAAGGTATAAATGCCCAATTTGACTGAAATTATTACATTAGCTACTGAGCTAAGAAAAAGTGGTCTTAATTTCTTAAAAATTCTACTGACATGTAAAAATTACTGATTACATGTGGTTCAGGTTGGATTAATTCCTCCAGTTCCTTTTTAAAATAAGTTCCCAAAAGAACCAATGGGCAGGAACTCAGCAGATATAAGGGAAAAAGAAAAAATAAAAAGGAGGGGGAACCTTACATTACAGCACATGAAATCCTTTATACATAAAGAATTACACTTAATTATTTATCCCACTATGTTACCAAGACACAATAAATGCCAAATCCAGTATCAGCTTTAAATAACTAAATACAGATACTCCTACATTTGAAAATGTAAATTTTCAAAGAGTTGTTGAAAGTCTTAACTTAATTAAACCTACATGTAGATATTTACATCTGAAAACCCAGATCCTAAGGAGGTTCTAACAGAACAGGAAGTAAAGCTGGAAAAGCTGAACAGACTCGTTTGCTTTTTTCTCTGGTGCTTATAAATCCCAAACATAAGCTTTATAAGCTTGCAGTTAAAAACTGCCTTAGCAAAAGCCTCCCAGCACAGCTAAGCATTCTCTGACAGAACAGATTTTATCTTAAACAGCACAGTGAAAATTCTTCACTGTTCCCAGCACCAGATGTAAGCCCGGGGTGTTCACAGCAATGGATGAACACTGCCCAGGGTCTCCACCAGACAAACCACGTGCTGTTTGCCCACAGAGATGGGAAGTGCAGTGGGAAATCCTGCTGGCACACACACATCCACCTGTGGCACAGGAGCCAGGGCAGGCCCCCTGCCCTGCTGGGGACGGGCACAGCCCCTGGCACACAGGAGGGCACAGCAGCCAAGGACAGTCACTGCCCAGAGGGGCTGAGACCCCACTGTCCCACCACACCAACTGCCCTCTCCTTGGCAAACCCCACAATGTTCCAAGTACTTCAACTGCCTTGTGAAAGCTGCATTGTAACAGGAGAGCAGGCAATAAAATCTGGGAACTTAAGTAAACACTGCAATAAGGTTTTCTTATTGCAGTTCCTATAAAAACACAGAAAACTTGGATATTAAGGGTCTATGGAGAACTTGTTTGTATGTGTGGAAACAGCTGCTCTCTTGTCCGTGCACTCGCACAATAATTCATTTTTAACAAGCATGCTTTGCCTTTATGTAGAAACAAGCTTCACAATTCCCAAACATAATGTCTGGAGAAAGATAAAATCCAAACACAGCAAAACACCATCCATTAATTAGGGATGGATTTCCCACCTCATACACACAATAACTGATTTAAGTCACTGCCAGTTCGGACTCAGCCCTCCAAAGGTGCAGCAGTTCAGCCTCCAATCTACCAGAACCTTCAGGAAAGCTGAGCCCAGATTCCAGAGACACCAAACCAGGTGTTTATCTTAGCTAAGATTTCAAACTGAAGTCAACACACAGCCAATGCAGAAATAGGAAATTTCCTTTGTTGGACTTTTTTTTTTTTTACATGTTTAAAGTTTCTCTCTCTCTGCTGTGCATGAGCAGTAAGAATTAAAAGAAAGAATAATTGGTAAAGTTATCAGTTATTTCTATTATATAACATTCAGGGAAAAAACCCTTTCAGCTGGATCTTCAAAACCCATTAACTGCTAGGAATGGTTACATTTAACACCCTTGGAAACACAACCATCAAGAAAAAGATGTCATTTCAATTCCAAAGAAATTTTTTTGCATACATTTTCAGTAAGCTGCACTTTAGAAACAAATATTTAGGAAGTATTAATCTAGTATTTAAATATATAAAAATACTGACTGCCAAGCAAATTCTAAAGAACTACAGAAGCTGAGAGGTAAAGCTCCATTCTGAGACAAATGCCTTTCAGTCTGATGACTGGTATGAAGCAGGTAAGTTATGAGACCATAAGAGAATTTATTGTTTTCTTAAGCAGCATTGGTCATTTCCTGAATTTTCACAACAGTTATCAAATTTCCTGGATGCAATTGTAATAATTCACTTTAAAAATACTATCTGGTCTTCACTTGAGCAGTTGTACCACTTCAGTAGTGATTTAAAGTCAAAGATAATTACTGATACATAGCAAAAAAATCCAGCTGACAATAATTTTCACTGTGCTTTGTAACTGCAGGAGCTTTTCTAAAACAGACGAACTGGATCTTTTCAGCAGAACCTTCACTGAAGACAAGTTCTTATTGCTAAGTACAGTCCATCTCCTCACCCAAGGACCTGTTTGCTACCCCACCTGCCACACTGGAGGATGTGCAGAGCCTTGAGAGAGCAACGTTTAGCACTTCCTAATCCATCACTGCCAGGGCTCCCTGACAGGGCATTTATTCACACACACTCATTGTTATTCAATTTGCTGTTCATCCCAGGTAAAAATTCCGTGATCTCCGCAGCTCCGCAGCCCCACGGACTGGGATCATTTTTCAGCCGGATCCTGGCTGGGGGCTGGCTCCCAGCAGTGGGAGTGCTTGCTCTGCAGCACCACACTGCCAGTGCATGAAGAGCTGATTTATGAATATGAAGCACCACTGGCACCAGGGGAGCAGCTCCAGCCACCAGAGACTCCTGAACACTCCGCCTGCTTCCGAAAGCTCAACTACACACTCCAAGTGCTTTAATTTTATGCATGCATTTCATTATAAGTCTTGGCCAGAAGCTTTCCTAGACAAGCCAAGCCATCAGACAATCTTGCATCGTTTGCTGAAATCCAATTTTGTCCTTTGTCAGCATAAACAGTTTAATTTGATGTTCTCACTCCTGAGTAAGCACTGAGTACCTTTTAAATTTCCCTTGCAAGGCAGGACACCACTCTGTCCACCCACAGACTCCAGCACACCAAAATAAAATCCAACCTCTCAATCTCCTTTCCTATTTAACACTGAATTTCCAGAAGCTAACTGGCCAAAGATACCTACCCTGATTTAAACAAACTGCCTTTAGAACATCTGGGGAAAAAAACGACAAACAATAGATCAGGTTAAATAAGACTGAAATACAATTCCAACTGCTGTCTATGATTTGACTTTCGATAGTTTTTCTGCTGTCTCAATTCTGCCTTTTGTCTATATGCATAAGTTAATTTTTTATTAGCTTATAATAAAATAAGCTAATTATTTTATAAATTATAAATTATCTCCTAGTCACTCGAGGAAGTATCAGTGCACCAGGAGTGGGAAGGTAGAGGACAGTGATGCTGAGAAGGGCTTTGTCTGACAGTGTGACCAAAAGGAGCGTGTGAGCACCAGCCAGGCCTGGTACTGCCAACAGCAAACCAAAGTTTAAGCTACAAGGAACTTAATCCATTGATATGCTACTTCCCACTCGTTTGAATAACTATGTTATTTTTGCGGAGGGAAAGAGGAGCGGCCAGGATGTTCAGAAAGGCCGCTCCGGTACTAAAGCAGGAAGGTCACCGTGTGCCCAAGGCTGGCTCCAGGGAACGTGCAGCCGCTCCCGGTACAGCTCGGCCGTGCAGTCCGCGGTGCCGGGAGCGGGGCAGGTCCGTGGGTGCGGGATCCAGGGGAGCAATCCCGCACAATGCCGGCACGGGACCGCGCGGGCCGTTCCCGGGGCAGCGGCGCCATCCCGCGGCCTCCCGCCGCCACTGCAGCGCTAATTGCACCGGGTCATCAATCCCGGCTCATCACACGGGCACCACTGCAGCGCTAATTGCACCGGGTCATCAATCCCGGCTCATCACACAGGGCTCATCACACCGGCACCACTGCAGCAGCTCCAGCAGCTCCAACAGCCCACGGAGAAACGCACCCCTCACCCCTCCAGGAGCACCCTACCGAGGTGTTTGATCCAGAGGTGCCAACCAGGCGCAGAAAAAATTAACAGAAATCTATGAATTTACGTCTTCCCATAGCAGAACCAGCATAAAAGCTGCCCCAGGCACGGGGTGAATCTGATTTACTAATCTGACACACTACAACCTCAGATCAGTTTTCTGATACATTTACTCAGACTCTCCATCACACTTCCATGGTTCTACCAAAAACAAGCTTCCCTTTAAAACTGCCCGAGTCTTCCAAATGAAACACAAGTTCCTCAAGTGAAATTTATATGAACCACAAGTCAGGACTACATGCAAACCACACTTCTGAGGAATTTTTTTCATTCAGCAAATTTTTGGGAATCCCACGATTCTCACGTGGGGAACACACACAGCAAAGCTCCTAACACCAGCTTTTCAGCAGCTGAGAGTTAAACAGTATTCCAGCCCGTGTTTGTAAAGAAACAGAACAGTGCACCCGCCTTATAAACGCAGGAACAATTTTATCTTTGAAGTCTGAGGCCTGCACAGCTCTCAGCAAACAACGGAGTTCAAATAAAAGCACTTTAAATACCAGTTTGAAGTGTTGCCCCGTGCTGTCACTCACCCATGGTGACGTAGGGCAGCTTGTCAGTGGATCCATGGGGGTGGATGCTGTACAGGTGAGGGCCCGTCACGTCCACTCCCCCCAAAACCAGGGCAGCGCCGATGTAGCCTTGGTACCTGGGAGCAAGGTTTGTCTGTGAGTCTGAAACCCCACAGTACAGCTGTGGTTCTGTTTAACACAACACAGGCACTGGAGAACTGTCCCTCAAATACCCAGTGTAGCTCTGCACTACACAGGCTACTTCCACCAGCTGGGAGCAACAAATTAAGAAATTTAGGAAAATACAGTCTATTTCAGTGTCCAGCAAACATTCTGAGGCAGTGTTTCCATTGCAAGTCACATAAAACTCCCAGTTTTACAAGCCTGCACATTACAGTATTACTGGCCCAGCCATCTCACCAAAGGTACCCAACAGTTCTTCATGGCTGTGATCAACAGCCTATTAAATTAATAACTTTCTATTTTTGCCATGTGATCACTGCACCACAGCACAACTATAGTACCAATTCTCTAAAACTTTGATTTCTCTTCCATCTCAGTTCAAAAGCCCACGAAGCAAAGAGCAATTACAAAGTCTCATTATGAAAGGTAAGGAAGCTGAGGGAGAAGCTGAGGGAGGATGCTCCTTAAGCATTACTTAGTGGTTTTAACAGCACTGTTACTAAACAAGAAGCCCACTCAGTTACCTGAACAGCATCTGCTTGAGCATCCTGTTGGCCGTGACAACCCTTGGAAGTCGTCCCGTGGACAGGGAGTGGAGCTCCAGGTTGGAGGAGATCAGCTGAGTTGTCATCTCAGTGTCTGCAGCTGTTCCAGCACCACAGCAACTGAAAAGTGTCATGAGCAAGTCAGGAAAGGGTGGGGAGGGCAGGGGAGGCAAAAGCCTCTATGCTTCATGCAACAAATAGAAATTTTCTCTTTGTAAAATTGAGGAAATTAAGTTCTCATACAGTCAGTATTTTCAGAGCATGACACAAGGTAGCCTGCTTAAGTGTAAATACAAAACCACAAATTCTCAAGCCTTGTCGACAAATTAATAGTTTTCAAGTACATCTTAATATTTGGTGTTAGCAAAGGACAGAGCTAAAAACCCAGTACCATTACCAACACCATCACACAGTAATGGACACAATTAACCATTGTGTAATAACACAAGGAACAATATCAACACTTACTAGATATTGGGGGAAATGAAGTGTATTTTTGAACAGTTCTTGTCAGCAACAACCATCCCCTCGGTTGCTCTCGTATCCGCTCCCAGGACGATGCCATCCTAGAGGAAGGGAGAATTATTCCCGCTCTCCACAGGGCCGTTCCCGGGGGCAGCGGGGGTGACTCAGCAGCAGCGGCCGAGGCCTCTGCGGGCCCGGCCTCGCCCCCGCCCGCCTCACCTTGAACACGATGCCGGCGATGGTGGTGCCCGTCTTGCGCGGCGCGGGCACCTGCAGCCCCTTCTGGGCGAGCTCGGCCTCCAGGAGCGAGTTCCTGCAACACAGCGGAGTGAGGCGGCCGGAGGGGTACCCCGCGCTCCCCCGGCCCGGTCCCAGTCCCGCTCCCCCGGCCTGCTTCCCCGCAGCCCCGGGCCGGGCCGGCCCCGCTCCCCCCGCAGCCCCGGGCCTCACCGCGCGCAGTTGTCGAAGCTGAAGCCGCCGGCGGGCGCGCTCAGCACGGACACGGCCGCCATGTTCCCGGCAGGAACGGGCGCGGCCCGAGCACTTCCGGGGCAGCGCCGCCCGCTCCGCCCCGCCCGCGGCGCGAAATGGCGGCGGGGCCCGGAGGGGCTGCGAGGGGCGGGCGTCGGGAATGGGGGAATCCTAAAGGCTGGAGCAGACCCTTGAGATCATCCAGTCCAGCACTGCCACTGTAACCCCCAAAGCACTGCCCCCCATCACCCAGCGCCACCTCCGGACGTCTCTTGAACACCCCCGGTGTGGCAGTTCCAGTGTCTGAGCACTCAGTGAAAACATTTGTCTAACATCTAATATGGGTCTGCCCTGTCTCAGCCTCTCTGTAAAGCTCTAATGTATCCATAGAGAACAGAACTTCTGCCTACATCTGCAGAAAGGTTGTGCTTTAAAGCAAGGCAGACAGGTAGTGAGAATTCTCTGAAATCTACCACATATCTAATGTGCCTTCTAGGTGTGTAAGTGCCTGAAATTAAAAAAACTGTTGATTAAAATAAGTTAATTTTTTTTTTGTTCCACACATTAGATGTTAATTACATAGGGCTCTTTCTCTTGCAGAACAACACAAATACGTGAGTAGCTCATTGGCTTCTTGCCTAAAGGAAACTTTCTCCAAGTGTATAAGTATTTTACCAAGGAAGCGTCTTCCTTCTCGAGGCAGTTTGTGCTTGGAACACGGTGTTGTCGCAGTAGGTGCTGTTGCTGAGAGGAGCTCCTGTGTTCATTCCAAGAGGAACGGTGGCTCCCACACCAGCAGTGGCTCAGCTGTGGTGCAGCTCCCTCTGAACAGCACCCACTCAGCAGGTGGCCCACAAACAAAACTGAGGTCCCATGTGTCCCCCCAAATCTGCATCCCTGCAGCGTCCCTCCGAATTATTGAAAAATGAGTTTCCTCCACCAGGGTGCTCTTCAGGTGAAAGTAAACAAACGAAAGTGGTGGGGTGGGCAAAGCTACTGGGCAATGTCTGCTTTTTCCTCCAGTGCTGAAAAATACTTGCCAATGTGAGAGAACAAAAACAGCCACGGGGAAAAAAACCAAACTCCAGCCTCTTTCTTGACTGTGCCAAAAAAGCTACCAGACCACAAAAGACCATCTTTAAGATAAACACAGAGAACCTGCACTCTGCACCCTGTTCTCCCCTTCTTTCAACCCTTGGGTAACTGCAGTCCCATGTTCTTGTACACCAGTAAGGCTGGGAAGCTGTCTGAGAGACAGAATATCCTGCTGCCAGATGCTCTTTTTTCATTCTAACACAGTTGTTTTTCTCTTCACTTGATAAAGTTAAAATAAACAGTCTCTGGGGTGACTTACAGGCGTCAAAATTGGATTGGCATACAAACTGTAGAGCAGTTGGTGGTGGGGAGTCTGGGGAAAAGGAAACAGCAGGTTTTAGCTAGAGGGGACAACAGCTTTATTTCCCTCTTGGTCCTTGACAACTAAACAGATGTCCTGCAGTTATTGTTTTACCTTCTAGTAATATAGAGCCTTTCCAGATCCTCCCAGGTACGCGACTGGCTCTCTTGCAGATGTGCAGGTACATCTCTTCCCTGGTTCAAAGCCACCTGAGTGCACCACTAGCTCCATCTATTGCTGGTTAATGGCTGGCTGGGAGTCAGACAAGGCCTTGTTTCTCCCTCTCAGCTTTATAGGATACCTTTTTCCAGTCCCGTTTATGTGGATGGTCATAAGATTTTCTCTGATCATCTGACATGGGCTTTTTCCACAGCTGTTGTGCTGTGAACTTTGTTCCTGGGTGATGCCCTTTGCTGTAGACATGGGTGTCACCTTTGTGTCCTTCAGAGCCCTGCAGTGCAAATGTCACTAAACCCTGACAAGAACGATGGTAGTGGGGCTGTCACTGGGCATAACCTCTGTCACTGGGCACTCACTGTGCCGGGCTGAAGGGGGCACAGTGGGGTGGTGCTATCCTGAAGAACTTGGGAAATTCAGAAGTATTTAGAAGAATAAACAATGGGTAAGAGAGTGAGAAATTCAACTAATTTTTAAGGTTCTGGTCCAATACATAAAGGAGTGCTTGTGTGGGCTCCTGACAGACAGCAAATGGCCTGTTCAGCTGTTCTGTCTAGCACAAGGAAGGTCAGTTCTGCACTGAGATATCCTCTGGGAACATCTAGGGCTGCACACTTCAGACCTCACTTTAACCTGCTGCAATGAACTGCACTGAAGCCTGAAAAATGCAAACTTTTCCCTTTATTTCTTCGTAAAGCAGTCCTGGAACCTGTTTCTAGCCTTAACAAAGCTGCAATCCAGGTTTATCATCCTACACGACATCTGACAGGGAAGTTAAATAGCACTCCAGACACATTTTTTAAAACTTGGGTTACCAGGAAGGTTAGTGTTATCTCAGCAGGTGGGCACTGGGGCTCAGTGTGTGTGTGTGTGTAATGTGTTAACTCCCAGGTATTTGAGTGTCTGCATTGACACCTGCCTGGTTCCCCAGTTTTGTGTTCAGTGCTTTCTCTTTGTGTGAGTGCCAAATGACATCTTGAATTCTTGGACCTTCTAGAGAGACATTGGGTGACTTGGAATGTTTAACAAAATCTTCAGCACAATTTTACTCCACAAAGCCTGCACCTACTCCTGCAGTATGAGAGGCAAACATGCTGTTTCAGAGTAACCAGAGTAAATCACCAGGCAGTTTTTTGCTCTCTAAGACAAGGGAGTTACAGAAAGTCAAGTCTCACCAGGTGAGGCTGGGGCCCTGCACCACCCAGCCCTGCAAGGGACAAGCTGGCTGGAGGCAACGCAAACTGTCCAGAAGCTGAAAGTACTTACATTGCTTCTGAACCCTCATCATGGCTGTGTCTGGTGCTTATTCCAACATATTCCTATGTTGGAATATAGTGCATATTCCTAGTTCCCAAACTAGCCAGCAACTCCTGTAATGTCCCAAGGTGAACTTGTGTTAGGAGTGGAGCCAGGCAGAGATAATCACTGAACTGGAGAATAAATGCACCATGTGTCTCTCCTGTTCCAAACCACTCTAATTTCAAACATCTTGCCTCAACAACGATCTGTTAACAAGCTGCAAGCCAAGAATCTGTCAGAGAATTTAAATACAATTCTGACAAGATCAGAACTAGATAGACTCAAACTTTACCAACCTGTGGCTAAACCAAAGCTAATCGAGTAGGTGTTTGCCCAGGTCAGGACAGAAGGGGATCTCGCTGGGATCTTCTTCATTGCAACTGAAACTTCCAAAAGTAGGAGATTTATTTGAGATATTTAAATTCATTAGAGGAAACAGAGTTGACTTCAGTCCAAGAGGGTGCCTTCATTGCTCTGAAAACTGAAAGAAGAGGTTGAAGCTGGGAGCAGACAAGTGGTGCAGGCAAGGGTATGGTGCACTGAGATGTAAAGCAAGTTCCCAAGAGTTTCTGAAAGAACCATTTTATGAATGGGAAAAGTTGCTGGCAAAGCTGTAAATGTAGGAATAGTCTGTGTCCCTCTAAGGGAGGGGATAAATGAAGTACCTGGGGAGCCCTTTTCTTGCTTTCAGGCAAATTCTAAGGGGCTGGAAATTCAAGAGGGCCAACACTGATCTTGTGCTGTTTCTAGCATTACGATGCTCCAGTCACTGTGACACTATCTCTTGTCAATGCTGTTTAGAAGTCCCTGAATTTCTGGTGGCCTTTGACGATTACAAAAGTCCTTCTGTTAGTAGTGTTGGAATCCACTTTCCAGCTTTATTTAGGTTCTGGCAGAACAAGCTGGGGAAACCTCATGAGTTGGAAGAGGAGGAAGAGAGTTTCAGGTATGAAGAGGTGTCTGTGCTGTTCTCAGAGGTGCTGCTGCATGTCAGTAAAAGGGATGTGAACTGGGGAGTCCGTTCAGACTGGGAATGTGCAGTGGAACTGACTGAACCCCAAAACTGCAGAGGGACCCAGGGCTCAGCCGGACACAACATGCTTCCTCTTTCTCAGCGTCTGTGTTCCTGTAAGTTGATGTGGAACTGCTTATGCTGGTTGTTTGTAGACCCTCCTGCCTTGTGGCTGGCATGATTAAATCCAGTAAAGAGATGGTTTCTGTACTGCCAGGTTCCTGCAGCGAAAACTTGGGCCATCTGCTCGCTGGTCTGTTGTGTTGGTGGTCGCGTGGTGCTGCCGCGCTGGCTGCAGCTCTGCTGCTGTGCAACAGCCACGGATGGAAAGCTTTATCCTTTAATGGGAAAAATGGGAAAGACAGATGCAATCTGGCTCTAATATTATTCTTGTACTTTTTCCTCTCATCTCTCAGGAGCTCTCTCATTGCTGCCTTTTCTCACTCTGTCTGAGCACCAGAGCCCCTCTTTCTCCTTGATAAAGCAGATGCAGTCACTGTCCCCCAAAGCGAGCTCCCTGCCTAAGGGTGTTCCTCAGATCTCCAGAGGATATAAAGCATCTCTCCATGATGTTTGTGACCTGAACCCATGCACATCAACACCTCACAGGAATGACAGTTTGTGGAGTTTTTGCTAGCTGTGATTCCACGTTCGAGGAGACGCACAGTGGATGTCTGGTTAAACCACCAAAACACCTTTATTAGAACACTATGGAAAAAAATATCAGAGAGATTTAGTTTTTCAAAGAGGATCAGCACCAAATGCCCTGTCTTGCCGGTAGGAGGATGGGAGATTTAGGAGTAGTTAGGAACTTGAGATAAAAAAAAAATCACCAAAAAGATGAATAATAAAGGCAGCTCCTGTTTTTTCTATTAAGTTTCTAGGCTACACAGATTGGTTATAAATGATGGCACTAAATAACCAGCCGTGCCCAAGCTCCCTGAAAGGCTCTGTAATATCAGCAGCTGATGTCCCACTGTGCAGGGACACAATTGGGTCTGTTCCTCCAGACAATACACCTGTCACTGGAAACAGAAAGCTGGCAATTAGCAGGGAGGCTCTGTGTTGGGCTTTCATCCCAGACAATGAGAAGGGCCTGGAAGAGTGAGATTAAGGCTGGCATGTCCACATGAGATTGTTGAAACAAACCTCACTGAGACTTGGGGGCATTTAAGAATCAAAAACAAGA